CAAAATTTGATTGGTTATGGTCATATGACTTGCATATAGAGGGAGTATTTAGATATATTTTTGGCTATAAAATGTTGTGCATTTATAGAATAAAGGACATGCACTTATATTATAAGTCCCAATACGGGCCAAGACTATTTGCTGCACTTAGAGAGAAGTTGCACTTAGAGGTCATGCACTTAGAGGGAGTCGACTGTACTAAGCTATTTTTTTATTTCAGACACAACATCAAAAAATTTATAAAGATGCTTGGGAAGTAGAAAAAGGAAAGGTTCGTAAATTATGATGAATTTCTTGTCGTAAATTAGCCACTAATATAAAAGAAGTAACTAAAATATTTTTATTCCAGCATCAATCGAAGGAACAAGAACAAAATCTAACTATAATTCGAAATATTAATTTTATAATGGGTGAATGTGTAAGTAATTATTATATTAGATGGGTTCAAATATTAATATTGCTAGCCTTTCTAATAAAAGGTTAATTATTTAGAATGCTAAAATACACGGCGAATGCTCGGAAGAAAGCTTAAGTGTATATACTGAACTATCCATTTTTTAAATTTTCTAAAAAAATTTTTTTTTAAGTTCCAATTGCGCAAATTATTCTATCCATAAATTAATCCGGAATTATCTGATAGGACCGATAGAAAAAAACTTTTAAAAATAAGCATACTTCTACTGTAACTACTGTAACTAAGATTGAATTGCCCAATCTTTGTTCTTTTGTTGAGATGCCACAAACAAAACGGGTGAGGAAGAATATGGTTTATAGGGGTCTGCAACCCAGGCACGTGCCTGTGTCTAACAAAAAGCCTGGGCATAGGCATAGGCACGAAACCTCAGATATAGGCATGGGCACAGGCATGAAAGCTCAAGCATAGGCATGAACATGGGCATAAAAAATTGGCATAGGCATAGGCACGGCACAAAGAATTTGGCACAGGCATGGGCACAGGCACAAAGATTTGGCATGGGCATGGGCATAAAATATCTAGCATGGGCATGGGCATAAAAAACTTGGGCACAGGCACAAAAATTTGGCACAGGCATGGGCATAGGAATACTATCTTTCAGATTTTTTAAAAAAAGCAAAACCCCAAACCTGAAACCTGAAACCTGAAACCTGAATGATTTTTTGGCCGATTCAATTAAGTTATTGATTTTGGCAATAATCGGTATATATTTTTTAGGGTTCTGCAAATGCCTATGCCAGGCAAATAGGCATCATGCCAGACATGGAATCTTGTGCCCATGCCTATACAAAAAATACAAAAATGCTAGGTATAATTATAGTATAGGCATTAAGGTATTGGCATAAATGTTTTGAAACAAGGCATTTCATACCTGTGCCTAAATAGTAATTGGCATTTTGTGCTATATAATATCTATGTCAGGCATATTATGCCCATGTTAAAAAACATGCCAGGGCACTTTATGCCAGTATCCAAAAGGTACCAGCACTTTATAATAAAGTGAATCTAACCGAACTAGTCAAATAAAAACAAAAATTGTATTATAGCTGTTCTCATAAATTTTGGAACATCTGATAAAAAATTGACCAAATGATTATTTTGCTGATTCAATAAGTCTGGATTCCGGTAATTAGATTACACAATGATATATATCTTTGCTAAATGACGTT